TGCAATGACGGCTATGGTGGTGAAGACAACAACTCCCATGATCCCACACTAGTTCATCAAACTTTGTCTTTTGTTATTGTTTTGATGTGAGAGAACGCCCCCCTCCCCTCCCCAGTGGAAGAATTACGTATTGTACATTTAAACCTAATTCTAAAATTAAAAAACAAGTCTTAACCTTGAAAAAGCACTTTGAGGACTAGACAAGGTGCTCTTCTACGTAGTCCGTAGGAGGAAAATACTGATTTTTGGCCTCCAGGGTGCTAAAAGAAAGCTGTTATGACTATTATGTTAGCAAACAAACTCCTGTTGGAGATGTGTTTGTGTCCACCCTATGAATGCAAGTCCAGTATTCACTTTAGCTGCTAAATGTTCCACTGCATTCAGCAGCTAATGGGCAGGTAGAGCTTGTTTCATAAAAACTCAGACAGAATCAGACAGTAAATGTGTCGCAAAACCAAAACTAGGATCCAAAAGACCTCAGTGGGGCTGCAGAGTCAGATACATTGTGGGTTCATCACAAAAAAACATACTAATACACAGAGCTTTGACAATAAACACATTTACTCTAGCCTCCTGCTCACTGTCTTCCAAATCATTAGCTTTTAGACCTTACAGGCTGCCATTGTTTTCAGTTTATTAGTACAGTGAAACTAAAACTGAAAATAAAAACTTGCTTTCTATCCATCTTAATGCCTTGACTATTTAATTTTGTTATGTTCAAATCTCTTCTTTGTGGTGCATTCAAGAATGTCCTCAACAGCTGCTAAACAACCCTTTTTACAGTAGCAATAGCTCTAGTATGCTGAGGTCCTATGTGTTCACCACCATATTATCTAAAATAAAAGTTTGAATGGACAAAAATAACTTATGACTAACTGGATAAGTTTACTCTGTGTTGGAGTGTCAACAGCAGATAGGTGGCGCCATCTGGTGGCTGCATCTGATCTGTGCTTTGCCTACACCTCAAAATGTCTGCTGTGAAAAAGGTCTATTGCAATAATTGTAGTCCAAATTCACCTTCATCATTTCAGTTATTATAACAGTTAATTTTTTGGGATTTCAACAGGCCCAAACTTCACTCAGTACTCAAACTTTTATTGGGTTTCCTTCATTCAATCAATAGTAATTACAGATGAGGAAGTGCAAATAATCAGATTGAGAATAAAAGGTTTTCAGAGTTTTACATATCAGTCTTTATGAAGCTTTATGAATTTTGATCAGGCAGTGTTTTGCAATTAAACTTGGTCAGAGTGGTGATTATTCAGGACAGCTGTGATACGAAGAT